AAGCCGGAACTTCATCTACACAGTGATCCCCTCACGATCTCACACTACACAGTTGATCTCAACAGATTACAATCCCTCACAGTTGATCTACACAAGATCACACTCACAAAGCAGTAAAAATGGTGCAAGACTCTCTCTTTACAAGTCCCTATGGCAAAGAGAAAGAGTACTGAAGCTGGGAAGTGAACACACACAAAAACACAGAGAAAAGATTTTGAAAATTTTCTCAGGAAGACAGCGTCTCTCTGGTTTTTGCAGAAATTAGGGCACTAGAGAAGATGAAGGAGTATAGGTTTAAATAGGAGAGATTAATCATTTTAAAATCACAACCCAATCTTCCCAAATAAGAAAATAATCTCATATTCAGACTATGCCACAGACTGTGCCAAACACAGTTAAGTGATAGCACAGTAAACAAGGCAAACGACCGTTGAAAAAAGTCTCGGTTGACCGAATAGATTTTCAGTCGACCGACAGAAACGTTCGGTCGACCGACCAAAAATCCGGTCAACCGCGAGCAGGTCTGAAAACAAAGAAAACAAGCAGAGACTTCATCGGTCGACCGGTGCGGTCGACCGATAGAAAAATCGAGCTTTCGGTCGACCGCACCGGTCGACCGACAAACTCTCTGTAGCCCAGTGACGAATGATCTTAAGTACGGTCGACCGGTGCGTTCGACCGCATTCTGATACATTCCAAAACAGTATTTTGACTCAAACAAAAATATTTAGAAAATATTTATTTGACCTCTGAAAATTATAAAGCTTTGTAAAATGTTTTTAATACTAAAAACAAACTGTTTGAAAAAAGAATTTTGCAGATAGGTCCTCATACTTGTGAAAAATAGTATTTTGTGAAAAACGCTTAAAAGCATAAGTATGAAAACGTGTGTGTGAGTCCCAATAGCTTCAAGTGAAATCAATAACTCTTTGCCTATATTCTAATACTAGAGAGAGAATAAAAACTAGCTAATATCCTCACATAGAATACAATTCTTGAGTCTTGATATAGCTTGAGTTTGGATGAAGCTTTTATATGAATTTGTTGTTCTTGAAATAACATTGCTTCATCTCTATGCCTCCTCCTCCTTTGGATATCATCGTTGTAGCGTATATTCCATCCAATCCTCCATGAATGGCACTAACAAGCTTGATAAATGAATTTACTACATTTGCACTCAATAAGCCATTAGTACCGTTAATGGTGGTTGTAAAACATCATCAAAACATAAGGGCTAACAAAAAACAATGGATGAAGAAATCTACATGACCGAGAAGAACAAAACATGGGAGCTGGTGAATCTTCCTGAAGGAAAAGAGGTCATTGGTCTTAAGTGGATATACAAAACCAAGTACAATAAAGATGGCTCCGTTCAGAAACTCAAGGCTCGATTAGTCGCGAAGGGTTACTCTCAGCAACCAGGAGTCGACTTCAATGAAACATTTGCCTCAGTTGCTCATATGGAGACCATAAGGATGATATTGGCTATAGCAGCTCAGCTTAAGCTCAAAGTATTCCAGCTAGATGTCAAGTCAGCATTCCTAAATGGAGAACTCAAAGAGGAAGTCTATGTCGATCAACCACAGGGCTACATAGTCAAGAAAGAAGAAAATAAAGTTTATCGGTTGCACAAAGCACTATACGGGTTGAAGCAAGCACCGCGGACTTGGAATAGCAAAATTGATAGCTACTTCCACGAGAATGGATTTCAAAGGAGCCCGAGTGAACCATCTCTATATGTGAAGAAAAAAGGTGCGGACTTCCTTATTGTGTGCCTATATGTTGATGATTTAATTTATTGTGATACTAACACCATGATGATTGAAGAATTTAAAAGAAAGATGAAAGAAGATTTGAGATGACAGATTTAGGATTGATGAGATATTTTCTGGGACTATAAGTAAAACAAACTGATGGAGAAATATTCATCAATCAAGAGAAATACTGCGAAGATCTTCTGAAGAGGTTCAACAAGAAGAATTGCAATCCAGTAGCTACACCAACATTGCTAAATGAAAAGCTATCAACGAACGATGGAACGCCAAAGGTGGATGCCTCAAGTTATAGAAGCCTAGTCGGATCACTAATCTACCTCACAAACACTAGGCCGGACATATGTATGCTGTAAGCATTGTGTCCAGATTCATGAGCAATCCAAGTAAGCTACACTATGGAGCAGCGAAGCGGATTCTTTGATATCTTCAAGGAACAAAGAGTATGAGAATAAAATACACAACAGAAGAAGACAATGCATTATCTGGCTACACTGACAGCGACTGGGCTGGATGTATTGATGATCGCAAAAGCACTTCAGGATATGTCTTCACTCTGGGATCTAAGGTAATATCCTGGACCTCAAAGAAACAACAGATCATAGCTCTCTCATCTGCAGAAGCAGAGTATATTTCAGGTACAAATGCCGCATGCGAAGCAGTATGGTTTCGAAGGATATTATCTGATTTACAACAAGACCAAGAGTCACCGACTACTCTCTATTGTGACAGCAAGTCTGCAATAGCAATGACAAAGAATCCAGTCTTCCTTGCTAAAACCAAACATATTGAGATTCGTCATCATTTCATCAGAAAGCTTGTTGAAGATAAGGAGATCGAGCTAGAGTTCATCTCAACAAATGAACAGCTAGCAGACATCTTCACAAAAGCATTACCCTCCAAAAAGTTTATACTATTTAGAAATGAGTTGGGAATTACAAATTAAGGAGGGGTGTTAGAAGATAATTTGTAATTCTAGAAAACTCTAGGATATTTGTAAAAAAGTATGTAAAGTAGAAATATCTAGAATAATCTAGGTAGAAAATATATTAAGCATGGATGTATGTAGAATTATATAGAATTCTCTAGAATTTTGATGTATCATGAAAAATCTAAATATTCTAGAGAATTCCTTGAGAGCCTATAAATAGCCTTGAATGTAAGCCTTGTAATCAAGCTTTGAAGCAATTCATACAAAGTTTCTTCAAGTTCTTAGCCTCTTCTCATTTTCCCTCCTATTTCCTCCATTCTTAATCCATCCCGCTTCCTCAACTCCAACGAAAAAAGTCCAACAAGGTTTAGCAATAAAGGCCCCAAATTTTGGGGGTTTTGTGTAATTTATCCATAATAATTCAACAAGTTTCTGCTACATGTTTTCCTTCCCTTGTTAATCCTTAGATTGTATGAAGAGCCAAAGGCCAAGAACACATGAAAGGGGAAGAAAATGTCATAGATACTGTTACTGTATTCATTCGACCAAGAATCACTTCAGATAAAAAGCACAAGTTCATAGGCAAAACTGTACCTAAGATATGTCAACAGAAAGGCTTAACCGTGAACTAGATCCCATATGCTTATATTCTGTCATTATAGATCAGAAAGGACTAGATGAGTTCCGTGACTCTCACTACTTTGGATACTAGTTATATATGTCCAGAGTTTGGTAGTCCTGGATACCAATGCACGACAGTATCTTACGCAATTGACAGTCTCTTACGCAATGCACGACAGAGTTGACGAATAATGATACAACAGGCAGTTAAACTTCCAACCCATGTGTCAGTCATTCGGACATTGGACCTCAAGGTTTATTCTTACATGTGCATTTTATATTTTCTATCATTGCTAACCAAGCACCTATAGTATGAAATGTGGAAGATAAAAGGTTTAGATAACTGTATCAACTCAATGATCTTCATCTATAAACAACACACGCTAGTGGTCCAAAAGGGACATTATAGAGATGAATGAATCGTGATGCAGAAACAACCCAACCCGAATAATAAATTTCCGAGCGGTTTGTATCAATTGACAACCCCGTCCTCCACCTTTCTCCCTTTGGTGGTTATGAAAGATACACAAAACAATCTTCTTTAATGTTGGTCCTGATGTCTGTTGGTCGTAACCGAAATATTGAATAGCCTCTCACCCACTTCAAACCACACTGGAATCTATTTTATACAATCATTCCTAACCATTATTCCTTCTACAGAACTGATGAAAACAAAAGTTGGGGTTCAGCTTTTACTTTACCAGTCAGCTCGTGTCCAACGTAATGGTTGGATTTTGTAGAATCCTAGCCAAATTGACAGCAGAAGCTTTCCTTGAGCATCTTACCGGAAGTGCAGTAGTTTACTTGACTCAGAGTAACTGCAGTCAAAACCTTATATGCACTAAAGTTAGTGGTAAAAGTTTGATAGAGAAGATTTTAGCTTTGCAAAATCACTACGAGCCATAGAAAATTCCACCAGTATGTTTTCATTCGCAGGTGAAAGCTCTATTACTAGGACCTCTCCAGAAAACTACCAAAATAGACATGCAAGCTGTGTAATTGTAGCAAATGTTGCTTGTGACATTTTTTGTAGGAAATCCACCTCAAATCCGTTGTTTGTAGGAAACCCACCCCAAAATAAACATAGCATGTTTCCATTGCAAAAAGTGTTTATTTAGCTGTGATTGCAAGATGTTCTACATTGTTTGCATTCATACAACTAACTTGACGATGTGGCGCTAATTTTAATTTTATTTAAGTTAATGCAAGGCCTTGTAGTGCAGCTAAATTACTATCTCCAAAATGTAAATCCAATTACCTTTCTCTACTAACTTATTGCTTACCAAACAATTGAAACAGAAAATTGACTGTGGCGTTTGCTGCTGCAGCTATATTTCCTGTCAACCAAACAACCCCTTACAGGAGGTGGAGCAATAATGGTCTCAGTGCTAACAATAGCAGTTTAAGTAGTAAAAGTGGCAGCAACAAGAAGAATGACAATGATACTAAGAATAGTTAAGTATCATAGGAATGAGAGACAGTGAGTTTACGTTATAAAAGTTGTATGCACATGCAGCTAATCAACTTGATCACTTACCATCTCCATCAAGATAACCAGAATGATTGGTAATAAGGACAGGCAGTCCTTTTCTAGTAGTTGCCCTGCATTAACAACCAATTTTTCATTGGAAATTAAAAGGACATCATGCAAACTATCCTTAACAATTTGAGCCAATCCAAAAATTAAAAGAAAAGGTGACTAATAAATAATTATAAAAGCATAAAAGAACGACAATCAAGAACACAAGAACATTTCAGTGCCTTATCAATTTAGAGACAGTAGCCACCCACTTGATCGCCCAGCCCTTTCTTCCTACATCCGGAAGTACTTTTCTGGGCCACAAAGAGAGAAACCAAGGAAGATCCGCTCTAGCACAGGAAGAAGAAGAAAGGTGGATTATGTCTAAAGCTTGGAAAGGAGCCTCTGCTGGATGCATCAACAGTTGTTCCTCAATTCCTTCGACTGAGCCTATGGTACCTAAATCAAGGCATGCTACCGTCAACTCCACTTCTCTCCTCTCAGAAATTCACCTAACCAACCATAAATCCCTTCCCCCCTTAATCCATGCCTTTTCCGATTTCATTGCAAATAATCCACAATACACCAGCACGGAACTAGCTGACCACATCAGAGATCATGACTACTACCACCTCTCCAAGCATGTATGCTTCGATTACAATGGCTTTGGTCTCTTCTCCCGAGCACAGTTGAGCTCCAAAGCTCGGTTCTCACATTCACAATCATCTTTCTTCAACATCACCTATAAGTCGGTGACACTGAAGTCCCAATTATGGTACGGAAACCAAGAGACAACACTGGAATCAGCCATCAATAGAAGAGTAATGGATTTCCTCAAAATTTCAGATGAAGAATACACCATGGTTTGTACTGCCAATAAGACTTCTTCTTTCAGAATACTGGCAGAATCCTACCCATTCCAGTCCAACAAGAAACTCCTTACTGTCTATGACCATGAGAGCGAGGCAGTGAGAACGATGGTGGAGATTGCAAAGAGGAGAGGAGCAAGAGACGCATCTGCAGAATTTTGTTGGCCAAGTATGAAGATCCACTCTGGAAAACTCAAACAAATAGTGAGCACGAGAAACCAGAAAGGTGGACTGTTTGTGTTTTCCCCTCAATCTCAGATGACGGGGACTAAGTACGCTTACCAATGGATGAGTCTAGCGCAGAAGAATGGCTGGCATGTGGTTCTTGATGCATGCTCCCTAGGGCCGAAAGATATGAACACACTGGGGCTCTCATTGATCAAACCAGACTTCATTGTATGCTCTTTCTTTAAGATTTTTGGAGAGGACCCATCAGGATTTTCAGGACTCTTAATCAAAAGATCCAGCAGAGCGATTCTGGAGAAGACGACAGCAAATAGGAGCATTGGAATAATTAGCATCATCCCTCAAAAACGGTTGTCTACCTTGGCATTGCGACCTGATAATTTTGTTACAAACATGGAAACACAGCCTTCAAATACTTACGTCAAAAGCTTATTCTCTTATCCTAGACCAGCTCAAAGTTCTCAAATTTTGAAATTGAAGGATAAAGTTATAGAATCATATGACGTGATGAACGATGAAAAAGAAGCATTTGGAGAACCATCATCCAGGATAATGTGCTCGCAGAAATCAGAAACCAATGATGTGATTGAATGCAGATATTTAGATCATGCAGATTCTGTGGGTCTTCACCTAATAAGCAGAAGAGTGAGTTGCCTCACAGACTGGCTGGTGAATGCACTATTGAAGCTGAAGCATCCTCTTACAGGAAATGGAGAACCTCTGGTCAGAATATATGGGTCACAGCAAAAATTCACTAGAGGACCTGCACTTGCTATTAATTTGTTTGACTGGAAAGGCCAGAAGATCGAACCAAGACTCGTACAAAAGCTTGCTGATAGGAGCAATATCTCAATAAGCTGTGGTTTATTAAGGAACATCTGTTTCTTAGATAGATATGAAGAGGATAAGAGTGTAATCTGGGGGAAAAGACTCCATAAACCAACTACAAATGAACAAGAGAGGACTGATCTGGGAATTACTGTGGTCAATGTGACACTCAATTTCCTGAACAATTTTGAGGATACTTACAGACTCTGGTCTTTCATTGCCAAGTTCCTGGATGCAGATTTTATTGAAAAGGAAAGATGGAGATATATTGCGCTTAACCAAACAATGATTGAATTTTAGAACAGGTAAATGATTGTGAATTATGGTTAAGTGACGTATATGAAAATATGATCTGTTTCTAATCTTGAGAACATGCTTAATGATGTATATTATTTTATGCTTAAATGTCTGATAGAGGCATAGCAAGTTTTTATTCAACATATTTTGTGATGGAGATCTATCCCTTTAAGGTTCAAACATTAACTGCCAAATTTCACTGTGATATTGGCACTGGAAACATCTGTAAGGACTAGGATTACTAAAGTTGATGATCTATGGATAATAGAGGAAGAACTGAACATACTGAATTCTGTTTAATAGGTCGCAGAAAAGAGTAAGCTATCACTGTTAACAAAGTATGTGGATGTAAGAAACATTTATATAAGCAGTGGTTTCCTGTGGCTTCATGACATGCCTCGGTTAAGTATGAAGAACAATGTCTTGGAAAAGACGAGATGAAATAATTGTCAATGGAGGAAGAAGAGAAAATGATAGATATACGGATAATAGAGGCATCATACTATGAGCAAAGGTATGCTGGAGATACCATTTCATGAAGCAGGAGTGTGAAACAGCAAGAACAACAGTAGGCTAGCAAAACTAAAATTAATGTACATAATCTGATTCAACTGAAACACCCACACAGAAACCTCTCCAATATGAAGAGGAAACTTAATAAGAAATTGAAAAATGTGCAATTGAGATAAGCACATGTGCTAATTTACAATTCTCTGAGAAGCCATTTAAGTTCTCCAAGGTATCCAAGCTCATTGAAAATTGAAAATAATCCATGCCAAGGAAACATATCTAGGAAATTGTACAATTTGCAGTTAGTTTTCTTCCATTGCCCAGCATCAGATGCAGCTCTTTACTTCATCTGAGTCTCTGCAGTGTAAACTGACCATAAATTGAATTCAGGGAACTACCTTAAGGGCATTGGCACAGAAGTATTATCAAGGAAGACAATGATGTACAGAATTCCACTGCTTCAAAAGTCAAAATCAAGGTAGCCACCAACCTGATCAAAAATGATAGTTTAGGATTCACATGGAAATATGTGTGCATTAACAACTTGATTAGCTGTCAATCAACTGATGTTATCATAGATATTAGGAACAAGAAAGCAACCAAAGGACATGAAAATTTATGCTCCAATACCACTATGGCATAGCTTTCCGCAGAGCAGAGACTAAAGCGCAATCATACAGGTGCTTACTATACATATCTGAACAAGAATAGTAATCAGGTGCCTCACACATTAATGTGATAATACCAATAGAGTTAGTATTATGCCAAAAAGAGAAAGGACTAGAAAGACAAAAGTGGAGAAAATGTTGAAACACCTAGCAATTTCTTAAATACAAATTTGCAGGAAAGAACATTCCAAATTGAGATACGGCTTCAAACATTATTTGTAGGAATCATATTGTGGATGCATGAATTAGTGATGCATGGCTTCCATACATCACATCATAACCTCAATGTTAAAATATGCAAAAGCAGAAACTTGGAACATATAGACATGCCCGTAGGAATAAGAACAGGAACACAGATCACCAAAATTTGAAAGATAAACGTTGCACTATCTTAATATGCCTTGCTTCTCACTATTGAAGACTGAAGATACCAATGGCATGCCCTCAAGAACTGCACATGCAACACAAAAAAAAACTCCAATTTGCAAAAACTCAAAGGGTAGCACCATAATGAAAGCCAAATATATAGGAGAACAGACCAAGTAGACTTCGAATAACAGTAAAAGTAAAACGAGTTGGAACAGTACCCAATACAAACATCCTCAACAATATGGCACCCACAGCAAGGACATAGTCATATAAACTTCATTCCCATGGACTTCATCTTTTAAACATTGAACATTCTTTACATTTCAGACGCCAGTACATTTTTAGACATGTTGACATCTTTATGACGTCCGTGTACAATGGCGTTATCATAATGTGAACAAATGACAACTCAGTTTTTTCACCAAATTTCAATGGCCAGACGAAGACATCAATTAAAGATCTGAATCACTTCCATCTTATGGCCAGACAAATAGAATACAACCCACATACAAAGTTGTAGCAATAATCACAATACAAGCAACATGCAAGATAGTTCTATTGTGGATGTTTTGTTGAATATCAGTGAAGCTAATGTAAGATGGTGCAATATAATAATTTACTACAAACAAGTATAACCATTCGACAATTAGCTCATATTAAATAACTGAGGAATAGAAAAGATTGCCATCAATTAGAGAAATATTTCCCCGGGAATCAATCTACCAAAGACTGCAAAAGCTAATATAAACTTGATAAAGAACAAAAGGGAATGTAAAACTAAGTGAAGATAGATATGTATCTCTTGGATTAAATACATCAAAAAGCAAAGAGTTGGTACAATAATACATATAAATATAAGAAGTTCTCACAATCATTACACATACTCTCAAAGAGCAACCATTAAGTGCATATCAGTCGCATTAGTTACATATATCAATCTCGAATTTTGACATTATTACCCGCCGTGCAAAGTAGAAATGAAAACCACCACATCCTTATCTTCTAGCGTCGCGTCCAGATTCCCGTATAGTTCCCAATCGCAATCATTCACCAGTACAAGCACACCGGGTCTCCTAAATTACCAACAATTAAATAAAAAAGATGAAGTTGCTTACAGTAAATCTCTAAATTCTAAAAAAAAATTGAAAACCTACACTGAGTCCCCTTTCATGAACATCTCGGGACGCTCCTTGATCAAATTGGTCTTGACCCATGACAGTAGGTCTTGCATCGTAAACTGAGAACCAAAAGGATCAGATTTTATATAAAAAAAAATTGAGATTGAGACTTGAAACAACGAAATTACCTTCTTCTCTTGCTGGGATTTGGGGATTTGGATGTCAACGTTGTGGATTTTGACGGAATCGCAGAGGAGTTCAAGGCCACCGCTGTGATTATATAAAGAATTGTAAATTGATGTATTTGTTAGTGTAGAATTTGTGAGGGAATGAATATTTTTCTTACCCAAATTCCAAAGTGAGATGCATGTTTAACTCCTTGGGATCAAAATTGAAAGTGAGAGAAGCCGAATATCTCTTCGCTTTTGGGAGAAATTTTTTAACTCTTCGCCAAAACCCTAGTTATCTAGTTTCATCAGCTATTTTCTTTCTTTTTTCCTTTTTTGGAAATTTATGAGCTGGGCCCAAATTTAGGAAGCTCATGTGACTAGCCCCTTCAATCTTTACCGATCACCTCCAAAAAAGTCTCTAGAAAGCACGCAGGCCCCTCCATAACAACCATATAGAGGAAATCTATGATATTTCCTCCAACATACTAAATTGCCCTCCTCCCTTCTCATCTTGCATATATGGCGATCTGACGGTGGAATTGGAAAGGAAATAAATTGTCTTTCCCGTCTATTATTCTCCCTCAAGAGCACATAACTTTCTCATTTGATATTTTAAGATTTTTGTTCTTGAACAATCAATCTTTCTCTCGTCCTAAATTTGCCTTCATCACTCCTCCTATCTTTACTTAATTAAAAGTTGAGAAGGCTTTCATCTACATGTTGTCCTTAGGCGAGAAAGCAATTTTTCTTAGTAATCAACTTTTCAACCACCTTTATAGAACTGAAGTTTGATGTGTTAGAGAGGTTAAAAGCTCCATACAATTCTTTATCGTTAGTATATAAAGATGAAACAAACTATAACTAGAGTTTTGCAGTTGAGAAGGAAAATGATTTGCTGTGTATGGTGGAGCATAACCGCAACATTGGGTACACAGAGATTCATATTGAAGTTATTCAAAATGTTGAGGTTTGGACTTCCCATAACTCCCAGAAAAATCCACAAGACCTATAAGTTATTGTTTTTTTAATGGAATTGGGGATTTCTCTTAAAATCATGGCGGAATCATGAAAATTAACTAGATGCATGTTATTGATACTTGTACCTGTTAAGTATGAGCAGTAATTTATCAAGTGTGCAGTACATACTCACAATCTAGTGTTAACTTTTATGTGTTGGATGTTAACTTTAATGGGTTGAATATTACACATATGATATAGTTTTATGTCTTTAGAAACACATGTAATCATGAAAATTTTACCAGATACGTGTAAATTACACTTGTACCTGTTAAGTATGAAGGTTCGGCTGGACATCTGTCCTATTGATGTGCAAAAAGAGTTTCACAGCTACTACGACCTAAGGACCAAGTATAGTAAGATATGATGAGGCAAAGAGAGAGCACAATAGCAGCTATATGGTGATGCTTATGAGGCGTACGATCAATTACAATGGTAAAAGAAAATATTCTTGTTACATTTAAATATTATTTGTTAAGTAATTTCATTGCCTAATAACTTTAACATTTATATTTTAAATATTATACGTTGGAGGACAATGTCAAGGAGACAAATCTGGGTAGCTATATTTGCATTGAACAAAGTGATGGAAGGTTCACAAGATTCTTCATTTGTTATGCCCTTGCATAAATGATTTCTTGATCTGTTCTACATCTTGTTGAGAATTTCAAATTAAAGTTGAAGGATTTAGGACTGAAGTCGAAAGATACACAAGTTTTGGGATATTTTTTGGAACTAGCTTGTTACAAGGAAAGCAGAATAGAATGATTATATGGACGATATTAAACTGATAAATGAAAGGGCATATAATTATTATAAACTACACTCTAAAGAAGTGGTCAGACACATTCTGTCCCGGTATTAGATAAACTATAAGTCATTTCATGTTAAGTCTAAGTAATTTCTTATTAAATATAAGTCTTTTCCTATGAATTAAAAGAAAATTCATGTTATGTATTAGGGGCTGTTGTTTGGCAAAAATGATGAAGAGAAATAGGTTTTCATGGCTGACAAGATGACAGTGGGAGATCTAAGACCAAATAGATCTTCTATTCCTTAGTTTGGTTCAACACAAGATTTAAGGAAAATTTTTGGAGAAATCACATGCCGACTCAAAAAATAAGAAATACCCATTTCTGAGCTTTGAGTTCGGGATGAAAAACATTAAATAATTATTATTTTTGTTATTCTAGTGATGGGTAAGTGAGGTTTCCTATTCTTAGTTTCCTTTTTTTTTAAGTTGTGAAATAAGCAATGGATATGTGAGGAAATCTATTTCCAATCCTATTTTGTGATGAACTAAACAAATTTTAACAAACCTTTAAAAACACATTAAAAAACAATATCTATGCTTGGAAATGAGTTTCCTATAATCTGAGAAACCAACCAAAGAGCCCCTTAGTCATTTCTTGTTAAGGAAAAGCTATATCCTATGAAATATAAGTCATTTCCTATGACATATAAGTCATTTAATGTCAAGTCTAAGTCATACCCTGTTAATGTTAAGTCATTTCATATGAAGTCTTTGTAGGCAATAAAAATTTCCTTTACACAAGAAACCTCAAACCTCGCCTGCGTGCGCAAAGCAAGCAAAAGGCCAAGCAGAGCTCGCCTGCGTGCTCAAAGCAAGCAAAAGGCCAAGCAGCGCTCGCCTGCAAACTAAACCTCACTAACACGCAGAGCTCGCCCGCAAGCCAAAGCTCGTCTGTTTATTTGACTTGCCAGCACAAGTCAAGTTCACCTGCATTCAAGAAGCTAAGCCGACCTCTCCTGTTTGCTTGACTCGCCAACATGAGTCAAGCTCGCATGATTATCGAGCTCGCCAGCACGAGCTCAACCTCACTTGAACACCTTGCTCTCCCACACGAGTCGAGCTCGCCTGCAATGAGTTCACCTGCACGAACCCAGCTTGCCAATGAATGCCAGCTCACACGCTCGAGGGGCTCACCAGCGGACCCCGCCTATTCGCCAAGCTCGCCTGCAAGCTCCCTTGAACATTCAAGCAACTCTCAAGTTCACCTGCAAGCATGTCAGCCCCACTTGAACAGTGCAAGCGGCTACTTGCTTATGGGAGTGGGCCTACCCACTTCCTACCTGGGTAATGAGGCATGGCTCCCATCATCCCTATAATGGTCACATCCCATAGCTATAGGGGGGTATGCTACTCCTTACTCCTATTATCCCACAAATCAAGGGATGGCCCATGTCATCCCTTGCCTATTTATAGGCTCCCTTTGCCAACATGAAAGGGGTTCGGCTGGTTCAACTTACAAATTGGATAGAGAAGCTTAGCATTTCTAAGACTCTTCAAACAGAGGTCTTCATTAGCTTGCTTGGTAGAACTTTCCTACCTTTTTACTTGGATTGTTGAAGTAGACTCAATCTAAACTCTCAGATCTGAGACTCTTGGCTCTTTTGCAAACTCTTGCATATTATCCTTCTCCAAGCATTCGGCATTGATACTCATCAAGCTCGGGTATTATCGAACTCAATCACATAAGAGCTCCTACTATGTATTGAAGCTCAACCGTAATTTTGATCGGATCGTCAAAGGGAAGCGAACTCGACGCAAGTATTTGAGGAGGCATCCTATCGCTACCGAAGAACCCACGTTAAACAAGAAGAGCATTCTCTTCGCTTCTGTTGTAATTTGATTCTCGATTTGTAATAAACCATTCTTATCAATACAAATCTTCTTTGGAGAATCATTTTACTCCCCTACAGAAGATGACGACCACAGTAGGAGGACTATTTCTTCAACCGAAATAGTGGTGACGCAATTCGACAAAGTTGCAAAGGAAACGATAGTCGAGTCCCTTGTTATTGAGTTCGACCAAGCTAAGTACGAGGAGTATTTATCTTCTTCCTCCTCTAGCGGTAAAACTTCTCGCCGATACCGTAGAGTTATGTATGTGGCCCAGTCCAAAGTGGTTGAGGCAACCATGCCTAAGAGCTCTACCCGAGCAATAGCAGAGGGTTCTATATCCCCCAAGCCAGCTAAGGCCGAGCCAAAGGCCAAGAATGTAAGCCAGGGGACTGCTCATTAGGTTACCAAACAATCCACACAGCCCCATATGCAAGAGGAGACAATAGTTCGTATCGGCGCGGACCATGCCTTCACTGTTGACATGAACGCTCCTCTCACCAATCAATCAGGTGAGCTCACCTACTCAGGCGAGCTCACCTACTCAGACGAGCTTCGCTTTGGTAGTAAAGTTCCCAGTTTTGGCAGACTACATCAATCAGGCGAGCCCACCTACTCAGGCGAGCTTCGCTTTGGTAGAAAAGTTCCCAAAGCTGGTGAACTTAGCGTTTCAGGCGAGCCTAACATTTTAGGAGAGCCTCACTCCAGCAGAAAAATTCCCTATTTGGGTGAGCTTAGCAAGACATGCAAGCCCCCCAAATCAAGAGGGCTTCACTCTTAAAGCCATCTTCCTAGATTAGGCAAGCTCCATGATTCCGGTGAACTGCACCCTTAAGTAGGCGAGCTTCGCACACCAGGCGAGCTTCGCACACCAGGCGAGCTTCGCACACTAGGCGAGCTTCGCGTCAAAAACAGAAGCCACCATACAGGCGAATCCCAGCAGGCCCGTCTAAAAACATGCCTTGGCCAAAAAAGCAAAGCCCGTACATTTCAAGCGAGCATGCCTCGCCTGAATGAACAAGCAGCTAGAGCTTGCCAGAATGCTGAAGCTCGCCAGAACACGAGACCTCGTCCTGTAGGCGTCAAAAATTGCCCACGGATTCCTACACGCGGTTTGAGATAAAGAGAAGATGATGAACATTACTATCTGGGTCACATAATCTTAATTAATGTCGATAAACGCATGAAGTAAGTCAACAAATCGTGTGAAGCGACAAAACTATAGAATAACAAAGATACTAACTGATCAGGAGCTACGCTTTCGCTTACGAAAGACGAAGCGCCTCTCGTGTCCCATCTACTCCACATGTGATTCAACCATTGGAGATTGTATATCTTCTTGTTGGCTTTCCTTCACACTTTGAATCATGCAATTCCGAGTTCGGATGATGAAGATATGACGGAAACGGACTGGACGCACAAAATAATACCCCGGGCCTTAGCGGAGACACTCCAAGTGTCTCGGCCTTGGTAGAGATTTTCTCGCTTTGAATCTGAAAAAGCTAAAAAGATGAAAGTTATAGATTTCTCCTCCAGATTTCCAACTCATCTTGGATCAACTCATTCTGAGATTGGATGAGAGAGTTAGAGGCAAAACAGCAGAGAGACACTTGCACTGTCTCGGCCAAGGTCGAGACAGTTGGACTATCTCGGGATTTATAGAACAATTTTGACCATGATTCGATTCACATATGAAG